TAGGAAGTTCTGCTCGGGTGAGTTTCATAAACAAAACCGTGAAAGCGGGGTCTGAATCCAAAACAGACAATATCGTGTTATGACGGAATCGAACCGGAATGTGGTGGGGATCCAAACTAAGATGTGACATATTTAATTTTGTATCACATGACTATAATATTTAATCATAAAAGTACAAGAATTATTTTAAAATACCAATAGCAGCTCTGAAAAATAATAGTAAAACATGAGATAGTGACGAGTGTATTTTTTGGAATATAGGATGGAAATATCTAATTGGTGTGAAAAGACTCAATCTTGTAGTAATTATCCGAATCTGTGTTTGAGTATTGGGGAGATTAAATATCTTCCACAAGAATATCAAGAAAAAATAAAATAAAATGCGGATTTTTTGTGGGGTTTTGTTAATATGGGAGAAAAGCCGAAAAGGTCGGAGACGGAGCACTAGAAAGTGCCGGGTGTCCGTGGGCCCCCTGCGTTCTCAGCCACAAGACTTCCCCATTCCGCCACTCCCTTCCAGAGTTTTCCTTTCCTTCCCAAACTTGTTAAATATCCTTTTTTATTTTCTCAAACAATTAAATTGAAATTAATATTCTCAGTCTGACTCTGACGTGGCAGCCCCTGGTTTTACTTTCTTCCTCCTCCATTTAACTCTGGGTTTCCTTGTGCGCTTCTTCTCGACTCCCCCATTTCCTTCTTCTCATCTCTTTACATCCTCCTTCCTCTCCTCCTCTCGATTCGGATTTTCTGTTTTCTTGTATTTTCCGGCAATCCGACGGCGGAATCCGTTTGTTTGTTTCTCCGGAAAGTTTATTTTCAGTTTTCTCTCCCACTTAGAAAACTGTCGAGACAAAGTTTATTTTCAGTCTTTCAAATACCATTTCAGGTAAGCTTCTGATTGATCCGCTTTATTTTCCCATAAAAATCTTTTCTTTTCTTTTCTTTTTTCAGAAAAATAATTGTTCATAAAGTTTGATTCTTGGTTCTTATTTAACCTTATATGTTCATAAATAATTTGTTTTATTTATTTATTTATTAATTTAGATTCAGGGGAATATCCAATTGATGAAATTCTGTTTTGATTTGTTGGGAATCAATTTCTCAGATTACAGGTTTGGTTGGGAGTAAACGTGTCGGACTTGTTCTGTTTGATTTGAGCAGCAATGGCAGTTGAGGTATGCAAAAGCAATCTGTGTTACTATGTTGGTCGGAATTTGATCATGGTGTGTGAGTGAATACTTTATTGGTACAATTTGTTCCAAAAGTTGAGGAATTTGGCTTTCGATTCGATGCACGCTTAGATAGATGTCTCAAATCAAGATTAGACTTTGATGCAGTTGTTGCCTTATTCACAGTTATTAAGTTTATGATCAATTAATGAATATGTTTTCTTGGATTGATTGTGTTTCTGGTAACAAGATCAGGCAATTTGCCTGATTTCTCTAGTCTGTAGTGGGTTAGTAATGCGATGCGGCTCGTTTTTTATGTCTTCAAACTCGTGCAGAATTATTTTGTTTCGTGTTTTCGAACTGAATTGTGTACTAATGATGAACGCTTTTTCGCTTGTTTTTTTACTACGTTGGAATCAAAAGTATCAACCCGACTTTTTGTTTGGACATAGGATCAGATTGAAGCCGCAGGTTCAAACGCCTCTGTTGCGGTTGGAAATTGCAGTTCAAACGGTGATGCGCAATCTAATGCGGAGATTTGTTCATTTGGCAATGACCATGCACCCAAGGTCACCTTCCTTTCATTGCTTTCGTTGCAGGGGGGTTTCCATTTGCCTAAATTTATGTACCTACCTACTCAAATTTTCGCTGAACGGTTCTTTGTTTTTGCCTTGTTTCTTCAGGTTAGGAAACCGTATACGATTACAAAACAAAGAGAAAAATGGACAGAGGAGGAGCATCAGAAGTTCCTTGAAGCCTTGAAATTGTACGGCCGAGGTTGGCGTCAAATAGAAGGTATAAGCTCAATGCCTCATAACTGTATCTATATTCTAGAGCTAGTTTCTTTCACACCATCTGACGATGAAGTTAAACTTATCTTTATGCAGAATATGTAGGCACCAAAACTGCAGTTCAAATTCGAAGTCATGCTCAAAAGTTCTTCTCTAAGGTTTAATGCCTATTCGACCTTAGTCCCTATTTCCTTTAATAGTATGTACAGGATTCTGAAATTTCTTTAGTTAAATATTCAAGACCCTGTGCCATTAAATCATCATTCGGCCGTATTTTTTAGTTAGCATGTATCCTTCACTGTATTAATATGGTTTGTCTTGCTTTCAGGTATCTAAGGAATCATGTGGTCCTAGCGAAGGCTCCACCAGACTGATTGAGATTCCTCCTCCCCGGCCTAAGCGGAAGCCTGTGCATCCTTATCCACGTAAATCAGTGGATTATCTCAATGGATCACCAGAAAGGTCGCCGTCCCCACAATTTTCAGCTCAAGGGAAAGACCAACAATCTCCCACTTCAGTACTATCTGCATATGATTCAGATGTACTGGGGTCTGCAGCTTTCGACCAGCATAACATATCTCCACCCCCGACTTCATGTACCACTGACATGCACTCTACAAGCTTATCCCCCTTTGGAAAAGAGAGTGATTACATGGCGTCCAACTCATCCGCTGATGAAGTGAAAGGGTCCTCGCCATCGGTCCATTTGGAAAAATTTCCATCCGTGGTATGATGAACTGTTATGCTGATTATGAATTTAGATTCCTTTATTCTGTTTTGGGTTCTGACTCTGGTTGCCCTTGTATTGATCTGGATTTCCAGAATTACAGACCAGGTTCCAAGCACACTGTGAATACTGAAGATGATGCCGGCAATATAAGAGCTTCTGTGAGCATTAAGCTCTTTGGAAGGACAGTTTTGGTACCAGACTCGGAGAAACAATCTCCACCTGGTGCTGACGAGTCTAAGACATTGACGTCAAAGGTGGAACAAGACAACTGTGAGAGGGAGAATGATAAGCTTGTTCAAATATCAAGATCAGATCAATTAGATACGAGTTTAACACTTGGTGGGATTGTTGGCAACGTGGTTTCATCGGCATGTGTTGCTACAACAAAATGGGAACACCAAAAACATAGCCCTAATCCTGAAGCTCCTCTGCCATGGTGGGCTATGCATCATGGTTTCCCGTACCGTCACGTCAGATCATGTAACGAAAACTCATCTAAAATTACGGAAAGATCCTTTCATAGTGCAGTGGAAAGTTTAGGTGAGAGCCACATAGAGGCTGTCGATTCATTACGCGAAGAAACTTGTTCGGAGCCCTGCAGTTCACGGAAGGGGTTTGCAGCGTACAAAAGATGTTTAGCAGATGTAAATAAGAACTCATCTGCCATGGTTTATGAAGACCTGAGGGACAGGCGAAGGGCTCGTGTCTGCTCATAGTTTTGCATTCCGGATGTTCTGTTTTCAAGTTTATTGCAATACGTGCCTGTGATTGAAAGTTTACAATTCGATATCTTCCAGTCGGATGATGTTGCAGTTTTGCAACAAGCAATAATTGTAACTTCCTTTCTGGGTGTATTCTTTGAACCCTATTCTTTAAATGAAAGTATTAGAGGCCTCAATTGAATAGTTATTCGTTTCCTCGACTGTTTCTTGATCGCAGTTTATGCAATCCAGGGAAGCGATTTCGCATTTCCAGTTTATGCAGTCATATGAATTTTTGCTTGCCTTGACATAACGGAGAAAGAGAAGTTTGCATCGTTAATTGAATCATACAATCATACGTTAAACAGAGCATACAAAAATGAGAATTCAAACAAAGTGGACACAAGACAGTCCAGACCAGTGAAGGCACCAAGGACTTGCATGTTAAACAACAATCACGGCTACGGCTGACATTTCAATACCGTCTTGGGTTTTGTTTGGGAGGTTGACGAAGCTCTGATCTCGGCTTTGCAACTTCAACAAATATTACCCTGCCATCCAAAAACTGAGAGAGTAAACAAGAAGCAAAGAAAGACTCAATATCTGATATGTCATGTGGACGAGCTGATAAAGCGATGCTACTGAAGATACTGGAAATGAGTGCTGGTATGCGCAGCAATCGTCATAAACTAGAAAATTTTGAAGGTTCAAAAGGCAATCATCAGTTCACTACATATAATCTTCTGAAGTCACACAGGACACAATCTTCATAAAACAAACAGCTCAATGTTTCTTCAAGCTCAAAAACAACCGACTGTCTAGACACTAGAACAGGTATAAAAGACTATAGTCGTTGGAGCTAGACGCCAATAAGCAAAGATTTCCAATTGAAAGCATGTAGAAAATTTAAGAGAAGATTACACCTAGTAGCGGTTTCCCTCCTAACGTTGGCACATTTCGCTTTGATATGTAGCCGGCTAGTTTTAGGTCATGATCTGAGGCTAACACATGTTTCTGAAAATAATGACAGTCACAATCAGGGCAGCGCAGCTGAAATGATGGCATCATGTTAGAGCAGAGCATGCGATGCCTACACTTCTCGTGGTATCGTATGTTTGATGCTCATGCTAAGTTTACGCACACCATTGGTTTAGATGATCATAACAAGGTGATAGAAACCTTTTTCACGTTGCCAATCAAGGTATCCATTCTTCATAAGGGGCCCTGATAGAAGTAAGCCAAAATCCCAAGTGTCCAAGATCTCCCTTTTATCATCAGAGTGTTTAAAATTACTATGAAACTCTAGTTCTCCTATGACACTCTCCTCGATGCATTGTTGCTTCACTTGGTGAATGCATTCTCACCATTAATACACTCTCCTTGATATATTCTCCCCATTAATACAAGTTGTCCAAAATTTTGGAAAGCATTTCTTAAGCTCTCTTCAGTGGTACAAAACGAAAGCCTTGCTTGACATTGATAATTGGCAAAGCATCATAAATTTGCAAACTAAATGATGTGTTATCAATAAAAAATGAGTACGTTTATAAATGTTTCCTCATCAACTTCTACGTCATTTACTTTACAAAATTTAGTTTACAAGTTTAATCCCTAGCATTACTCAAATTTTCTGTCATCAAGCCTCCAACTTGAATCAATTTTTAGAAGGTAGAAGAGGCAGAGCGGCGCTGCGGCAAGGTTGAATATGGTAGTTAACAGGAGACCGGCTGTGCTGTACCACTACTCTTGTCCGGATCTACTTCTCCGCCGTCTCTGCCGAACCCCTCTTTTTCCCCAACACCGTTTACAGCCCCATCACCCCCCAACACTTCCCTCTCCCCAACATCGACCACCTCTACCTCCTCGACTTCGTGGGTCCCCCCGGTTTTGTCCAGAAGATCTCCTCCATGGTCCCAAACGTCGTGGTCTTGGACCACCACAAGAGTGCCATTGGAACCCCCATTGGCGGAAATGTGGCCGGCGTCGTAGACATGAACAGGTGCGGCGCCACCATCGCTTTCGAGTATATCGAAGATGGTGATCTATGGAGGTGGAAGCTTCCCAACAGTAAAGCTTTCAGTAGTGGTCTCAAAGATTTGAACCTTCAGTACGACGTCGGGCTGAACCCATCTTTGTTCCAATACGTAATTTCAAGTTTGCTTGCTTCATTAATTGATGGCGTTGAAATTACTGAAAAGTTGTGTGCTTTATTGATTTTTGGTTTGAATGAGCAGCTGCTTTCTTTGGATAGTGTTCGGCGCACGCTTAATGTTGCCACTCTTTACATTACTGCAATGCATTAAGATTGCAAGTTTTGGGCTTTTTTAGTTTGAATTTAGTGTGATTTTATCATTGGTTCTAGTTCGAATTTTGTGAAAGTTATTGAATTTCTTGCCTTGTTTCTGCTTTCTTCAAAAGTGCTGCTGTTGTGGTGATGCCACAATGTATTTTGCTTATCACATTCCAATTCTTGTCTTTATAGTTTATAAGTTAAATCCACCAAGAAAGTTGAATGCACAAAACTATAAAGCAGTGTTAACAATTGCACAATGAATATAGCATTTTTTTCCCTTTTATAGCATTGGAGTGGCATCTTATATAGGACACTGGTAGTTCCTCAGTTATCATGTTTATTTATATAACTGTGGCAGAATTTCATTCATTCATTCAAATGGAGAAAATGCCCCCTTAGTTGAAAGATCAACTGATTGGAGACGTCTCAGTTGTGTCCTCATAGAGGAGAGTTTACTCAATTGTGGAATTCCATTCTCCAGAAACTGCCCTTTCTTAGATTTGCAATCCATGCCTTTCAATCCATTCTGTTTGCAGGGTCAGAAATCGAGGACCAAGTAATTTACTAAAAAATGGAATTTCAACCACCGACATAGTAGTAATCTTTTCAAGAGCTGCATTCATGATGATGATATTTTTGGCAAAGGAATTTTATTTGAGGAAGTAGTTTCTCCATTTGCGAACGGATTTGCAATTAAAAGAACTGTAGAAAGAAAATGTAAAAGTTTTAAGGGAGAAACCATGCGATGTAAAGATAAAGCTCTATATCCAAAAACCAAACTGATGTTAGGACTGAAGCATGTTGAACCAGTGGGGCCTATATTTGTTCCTGTTTTACTTGGTAAAAAGTCTGGTTAATTGGACCCATGTTAGACTCCTTGAATGCACTATTCTAGCAATTCATGATTTCATCTTGTTTTTCAGTTTGAAATCAATGTGGATAAACTTAGTACGAATGAGGTGTATCCTGTCATCTTCATTTTTCAGAACTATATTCATGTTATTTTTTTTGTTTTATGTGGAATTGTTTTTTTATGCCTGTTTATTGTGGTTGATCTCTTCCAGAGCATGGCTTCCATCACCTGCAGTAGTTTTTATTAAGCTCAACTCAAACTGTTCCACCCATCTGGATACCCAATGCACATTCAGTAACTTGTTTGAGATGTATTGTAATCGGTGCTATCCTTCCATTTTACATTTTAGTTATCTTTTTTTTTCTTTCAAATTCTCTGTAGGGGCATTGGTGCTGTTGTATACAGAGTGCCTGAGCTTGAAAATGACCAAATGCTAAAAATAAGCCTTAGGAGTGTGGACACCGAAGACACAACACTCATCTCACAGGGTGTTCTCTCATCATATGGATTTTCTTTCTGCCTGTTAAACATGGAATTAACTGGCACATATACGTAGTACTTTGGGAAAAGCTAAAATGCGTTTTGCATTTTCTTCTCAGGAATTAGTAGTCGGTGGGCATCGAAATGCTAGTTCCTTCATGGTAGGCTCTGCAGAATTCAAGCAGTGGAAACTGTGAAGATTGATATGACATTCAAGAGGTAACTTCAAAATCCAATCGTTAAAAATGTATTGTATATATTTATTCCACAAGTAACATCCAAATCACCTCAGGAAAGAGGTTAATAACTAAATCTCTAGACTGGTCATCTGATAAACTGACTCTCAAGAGAATCCACCAACAAAACTAAACCAAACCAAACCAAACCGTCATAAAATGGCTAAAGCCAATTTAATATAATTAATCTACAAATTAATGAAGATACGGTGACAAACCTTACAAACTTTGTCTAGTGTTCTTCATGAAATCGTGTATATATATGTTGTATTTTATTGTTTGAAAATTACATCCGTCCATGCATGCATTTTCAGGTTATTTACTGTTAATTAACACCAATTCCGGTAACCATCCATGTACTCATCTTCACTGATCAGTTAGTTTGTGAAGGCCACATGAGAGAGCTGATCTTCACCACTGACACCGGTGTTAGAAGAACACTGCATCCACGTATCATCTGTGATGAACTGCATCCAGGAATCGTCTTTGTCATCTTCCTCCTGCAGGCATGAGATCGACGATGACGATGCCATCAGAATCTCCGGTGACATGGTTTGATCACAATGATCATTGTTTACACCTTGTGATCGTTCATGAATATTATTTAGTGTTAAATGACTTGATTGGCCTTGCTGCTCTTCAATCTCCGCGCAAATGCCATTTTTCTTAAACACGCGACACAATGCAAAAGAATCCTGCTATATAAATTCAATATTTGTTAATTTATCTAGTCAAAGGGTAAAGGAGTTGGAATGATATTGTAAAATGGGAGATTTTTTAATGTGTCGGTCCTGCTAGAACACAGTTTAATACACCAAATATCACAATATAAGTGTAATTTTTTTTTTTCAAATATCAAACCATTCGTATTATGTCATTTGGTGTACCGTATTTCTGAAATACTAAAAAAATTCTCGTATAATTTATAACAATATACGCATGTTAATATTATTTTGGAGTTCGGAATAAAGTAAAAAGCCCCCGACACCTTACATAAATGAAAGTGATCGATGTGGAGCTAGCAAGGCTGCTTTTTGTGGTTAATTAGTTGTATGATCAAACGTAATTACATTATAATAATCCATAATTCTTAATTAAGCTTGAGTTAATTAAGGAATATTAATTCATATCTAAATCTTGTGGAGGATTGTACTTTTGTCTGATTAGAAAAAGAAAAGAGATTTAAGTGATCCACTGCAAGCAACGAATATTGTCAGCTATTTTTATTCCGTTATTTATATATTTTTAAAGTATAATATCGTAAATTCCATGCATGCAAATGCAAACTCATGCAAGTTTTACGTGGATAGTTTTACTTTTCATTATTATACACTATTAACTTATGGTCCAAAGCTTTCTGACTGATTATGCTCTTTAATTAATCGATTAATTTTTCTTTTAAGTGGAGTGTTAATTAAGTTTATAGGGGCAGCGTAGCCAAGCTTTTGCATCTCACGCTGCAAAAGAGGTAAAATTATAATAAAAAGCATGAAAAAAGAAAATGCTTTTCTCCCCGCCTCAAGCATCGAACTTCATGCTTTTTAGGTAAAATATTGTATACTGTTTCGGAAAAAGATAAATCTCTGAAACAATGGTCTTGTGGTTTCTGTTCTGTGTGATTTTGGTAGGGATCATTTTTGACAAAAACTTGAAAAATAAATGGTTTGATTGTTGAAATACAATGTGAAATTGTAGTTCCCCCAACTAAAGCTCACTATAATCATTCTAATCATCTTGTCTTTCCTTTTCATTAAATAATCAGTAACGGTGACACTAGTGAGTTCCTTCTAATTAATAAATTAGTGAGTGATCATCTAGAATTTATAAGTCACACTCGCACCTATCATTAATTGAATCCCACCATACTCATCAATTTGATGATGAGAATATTTTGGGACAAATAAAATGAGCTACAGATACAAAGAATGCTTAATCCTCCCAATTGACTAATTAACATGTGGACATGTATATATATGTATACTTATGTGTGTATTATTAATTAATTTAGAGCACAAACAAAGCGTGTATAAATTGATGGAGAATATGGTACCTGAATTGCGGCAGATGATGAGGAGGAGGTGTCGAGGTCGGAGGAGCAGTAGTAGTCCTTGTCATCGAGGCGATACTCGTGCATGACCCAGTCAGTCCGAATGCCCTGAGGGGCTCGGCCTCTGTAGTAAACCAGCGTCTTCTTCATTCCGATTGCTCGATTCTGGCACGTCACTCTCCTGTCTTTCCCAGTCGACTTCCAATATCCTGCTCTCGTTGCTCTGTTTGTTCTGAATCCATTAGGGTATTTTCGATCCCGGGGTCCAAAGAAGTACCACTCGGGGTCTCTACTTGGCAAAAACGATTTTTCTGCATTGATGCACCAATCAAATATGTAACTGTATACAACTATACATTTAAATATAGATGACATAATTTGCATTATACATATGCTAAGATAACGCTCAAACGCTAATCAGTAAGTTAACTATCATGAATGGTATACTGCTTGAATAATAATGATGTTGATACAGTAAAAGTACTCAATGATGATCGATGAAGGACCTGCTAATTCCCAAGGCTCGCATTTGTAGAGATCAACTTCAGGAATGATGTCGAGCTCAATCTCTTGGCCGTTGATTTTCCTCTTGAGATAATAATTCACCAGCTCCTCGTCCGTTGGATGGAACCTAAAACCGGGAGGTAATCCCACTGGCGCCATATAATTGATATCAAAGCACGGCGCAAGCTAGTTAGTTTTGTTGTTACTGATTGTTTCCTTGGCGATCGATCGATCGATCGCCCTTCTCTCCTCCTAGCCAGCTAGCTAATGATTTATGGCATCATGATCATGTTATATATCTACACGTATAAAAAGGACTGAAAGTCCCTTGTATTAAGGTCTTTCCCCACTCCTCATCAGGACCTCACTTTTCCTTTTCCAGATTCTCAGACAAAACCTTCTTCCTATTGACACTTCTCGGCCTTACTGAATGTTTTTAAATTTTTCCTATCTTTCAATTTTGCTTATTTGTTTTTACCAAGGAAAATTTTTATTTGTAAGCAAAAATCATATAAATATGCGTGTGTTCGTACATATTACATACATTCTCATGTTAGGATTTATCATCAAAATACGTTGTTGTTAGACTGTGAATTTCAATCGCACATTCAACATTCATCACAATATAGTATAGCATGTGTCACTTGCTCTTGCAACACATCATATATTTTGTTAATTAATTTGGTAGCTTAATTTCACTTTTGTTTTTTCAAGGCTCAATCCCCTTATCCCTTTCTGGCTGAACGTTTCTTAATAAATTTACAGTTACAGTGTATCTTATCATATTTTGACAACGAGTTGAGTTACTAAATTATCTAAAGTTATACTGTACTACTGGACCAAAACTCAAAACAAGGCTGTCATCTTCGTTCACCTTTACAAACTATTTTATTGTCTTTCATTGTTTCTCTTCTACTTTTACCAGCTATTAGTCACTACAAAATCCACATCAAGCTTTAGATGTAGATCGTGTGATGTCAATAACGTGATGTCACGTACCGGGATGAAGCTGAAGAAGGGTCAGGGGCCATGGCCCCTCTCCCTCTCTCTCTCTTTTTGAAATGATAAAATTACACGTAAATTATAAAATATCTAGCCATTTATCTGAAACATATGAGTTTCTAAACAACACACATTCCTCTAGACTGTAATTGTTTCTTTATATCTTGTAGCCTTGAATTAATGTGCATGTTTTATGTATAGTTGATGGCTGGTCAAGTGCATGCTCTTTTGTTGCTGAAATTACATGCATATGTATATGGGGTTACTGGTTAGTAGTTACCTCTCTATATGGAAACATAAGGATTATTTGCATGGCTGGCTCCTCATTGAGATTTTGAGAATATATAGTAGGTCTTGTACTATCTATTTTCATCTACTAAAATAGCATCAGAATTTCATTATGAATGAAATCGAAATTACTATTTTTAAATTGATCACAACTATATCTTATGGAATCATATTAAATATTTGACCACATAGTTCGTACTTTACTACGAAACCAATCTTTCTTTAACAACAAAAAATCTTATTGACACACAATCTGTGCCAAAATTTATTTCATCATTCCTCATGCATGCTGAATCAAATAATCAATGACGCATCCTTAATCTTTCTCTCCCTCTCTTTTTTTGTGTGGAAAGTACTCTCTATCTCTCCTCTCTCTCTCTCTCTCTCTCTCTCTCTCTCTCTCTCTCTCTCTCTCTCTCAATTGGAATGCTGCTTCGTCCATGGCTTCTTCAATTGGAAAGCTTCTACTTCAATGGCTTTACATAGTTTCAATCAACATGATATTTGTACCATACAATTACATAGTTTCAATTTGCTTGGGCAACATTAAGTAGATTAAAGCTAACCCTCTCTACCTCGATTATCCTGAACTTGACGACTCAACTTATGGGGAATTCTTGAAGTTACTTCAGAAGTTGTTGGCGGGATCTAATCTTGTTGAATTTGAAATTCCAATACTCCGTGAAGAAATCACGGTGCAGGACTTCAAAGGCTACATCTTAGTTGACTTGTATGCCGAATATCAACAGAAGAACACGTTGGTGCTCAGTGTGATCAACTTCTACGTGGAAGACTATTGCAACAGAGAAATACTTTACAATTTTTCAGACATTGCAACGGAGAAATATTGCAATGAAATGAAAGTGAGCCCCCCTGCACATGGACTGGCGTGGTTGCCGAAAGGGCAGAGTAATTATTCTTCGCCCTTCAACGCAACTATCTGGTGTTATTCGGGATGGAATTTAATTTCTAACACCTAAGGCATCTAAAACCGATGGCCTTTAGAATGAATAGATTAACCGGCACTGTACCGGCAGATTTGTCAGCCCGCCTGATGATGGAGAACTTGTATATTCAAGGTAAAACCTGCACCGAACAAATACCAAATTGCAGTCATAGCATGCACAGTCTAAGATTTAATAGCCAAAGCCAATTGCACCCTTCTTCAGCAAAACGAATTCACAGGTAGAATTCCGGACCTCAAGCTTCACTTTTGGGATCAGATGAACTTGTCATTCAACTTACTGAACGACTCCCTTCCGAAATCATTGCAACAATATCCTCCTACACCGTTTATGTGAAATTTATTGTGGTGGCCGGCTTTGGATCCATGACCACGTGCTGGTAAACATAACTTCTCTTGGAAATCGCCATGGATTGCTCTAGGTGTTATTTTTGCTGCTACGGCGATTGTACTTCTTGGAGCTGAGCTCCGACGGAGCGTAGACGAGTAGGAAGTGGAGAAGAGGTACAAGGACGAGTAGGCTTTCCGACGGAGCGTAATGTCTTGATCAATTTGTGTGGGTAATTCGTAGCCATCTAGCATTATCCTTTAATAAAAAATATAATTATTGAGTGGCCTAAACTTAATAATAAATTACAAAATTAGACTTATATCAAAATTTAATGTATAAAATATTGTGAGAATTTAATGTATAAAATATTGAGTGTTTGATTATCTGTTAATTTTTATTTTTTAATTATATAATTTTTATTTACTTTTGGTTGAAACCTTATTTCTAAATTTGTGCAAAAGTCTGTTTAACTCGTGTTTACAGTTTGAGAGTCGTCGTGATTAGGCGAAAGTAGAGAGAACAAGGAGGGAGGGAGATGTTATGTTTTGGAAGGCGATCACTCTCTCGGAGTCGGAGTCAATGCTATCATACCACTCAGCAAGCCGTAGTGATATTAACCCACAACTTTTCGACAAACACCCTCACTCGTCTCGACTTTGATTACAAACACCTTCTCGAAGCCTGCATTCGATCAAAATCCCTCCCTCAAGGCAAGAAAATCCATCAGCTCCTCCTGAAAAACACTACCCACCTCAAAGACAGCTCCTTTTTGCTTGAAAAAGTAGCCCATTTGTACATAACCTGCAATCAACTCCAGCTTGCGTGCCGCGTGTTCGATAAAATTCCCCAACCAAGTGTTATTCTTTGGAACCTTTTGATAAGAGGATACGCTTGGAACGGACCCTTTGAAAAAGCCATCGACTTGTACTATGGCATGCTCAAATCCGGCGTCCAACCCACCAACTATACTTACCCTTTTGTTCTCAAGGCGTGCTCCGGTTTACAAGCACTAGAAGTTGGCCGAGAGATCCATGAGCATGCCAGAGGACTTGGGCTTCACTCTGATGTCTACGTTTGCACTGCTTTGATCGACCTGTACGCCAAATGTGGGGACTTGGTGGAGGCTCAGAGCGTGTTCCATGGCATGCTGTACAAAGACATTGTGGCGTGGAATGCAATGATTGCTGGGTTTTCACTGCACGGTCTTTATGATGACACTGTACAGTTGCTTGTTCAAATGCAGAGAGCGGGAACAAGCCCAAACTCTTCCACCATTGTTTCGGTTCTTCCCACAGTTGCACAAGCTAATGCATTGAGGCAGGGGAAGGCAATGCATGGTTACTCCCTAAGAAGGGGCTTTAGTGGTGAGGTGGTGCTTGGTACTGGGCTTTTGGATATGTATTCTAAAAGCCAGTGCATAGCTTATGCGAGGAGAATCTTTGATGCTATGAATTTCAAGAACGAGGTTTGTTGGAGTGCTATGATAGGTGCATATGTTATCTGTGACTCTATGACAGAGGCAATAACATTGTTTCATGAAATGGTTATACGGGAGGAAATAAATCCAACAGCAGTAACTCTCGGGAGCATTCTACGAGCTTGCGCAAAGCTAACTGATCTGAGTAGAGGGAGACGGGTTCATTGCTATGCAATTAAAGCTGGGTTTGATTTAGATAAAATGGTGGGTAACACAATGCTATCTGTGTATGCGAAGTGTGGGATTATAGATGATGCAGTCAGATTCTTTGATACAATGAACTCCAAAGATACAGTTTCTTATGGTGCTATCATCTCAGGCTATGTGCAGAATGGTTATGCAAAGGAAGCTTTACTTATGTTCCATAATATGCAATTGTCTGGGATCAATCCAGATGTGGCAACCATGAAGGGTGTTTTGCCGGCTTGTTCACATTTGGCCGCTCTACAGCACGGGGCCTGTGGACATGCTTATTCAATTGTTCATGGATTTTGTACAGACACCTCAATCTGTAATGCCTTAATAGACATGTACTCAAAGTGTGGGAAGATCAATATAGGAAGGAAAGTTTTTGATAAAATGGTTACGCGTGATATTATTTCATGGAACGCAATGATAGTTGGTTATGGGAATCATGGCCTTGGGATGGAAGCAATCTCACAGTTCCATCATATGCAGTCATCTGGCATTAAGCCCGATGATGTGACTTTCATTGGCCTCTTATCTGCTTGCAGCCATTCGGGGCTTGTAACTGAAGGCAAACACTGGTTTAGTAAAATGAGTCAGGAGTTCAACATAAACCCGAGGATGGAACATTACATATGCATGGTGGATATTCTCGCCCGGGCAGGACATTTGGATGAGGCACACAGTTTCATCCAAAGAATGCCATTTGAGGCTGATGTTCGTGTGTGGAGTGCACTGCTTGCTGCATGCAGAGTCCATAATAATATGGAACTCGGGGAAGAAGTATCCAAGAAAATTCAAGGGAAAGGACTTGAAGGTACTGGGAATTTGGTCCTTTTATCTAACTTATACAGTGCTGTTGGGAGGTGGGATGATGCAGCCGATGTCAGAATCAAGCAGAAGGACCAAGGCCTTAAGAAGAGCCCAGGATGCAGTTGGGTTGAGATCGATGGCGTTATCCATGGATTTGTCGGTGGAGATCAGTCCCATCCTCAGTCAGCTCAGATACATGAAAAACTAGAAGAACTACTAGTAGATATGAAACAGCTGGGATATCGTGTGGAAAATAGATTTGTTCTCCAAGATGTTGAGGAAGAGGAGAAAGAAAGAATCCTCCTTTACCACAGTGAGAAACTAGCCATTGCCTATGCAATTCTTTGTCTGAGCCCGGGCAAACCCATCTTAGTTACCAAGAATTTGCGGGTTTGTGGTGATTGCCATGCTGCCATAAAGTTCATCACTCTTGTTACAAAGAGAGAAATAACTGTAAGAGATGTGAGTCGGTTTCATCATTTCAAGGATGGAATTTGCAGTTGTGCAGACTTCTGGTGAAGCAGATGGATTCAGGGGTGCATTGTTCAACCTTCCCCTTGTCTCTTTGGCTATATAATTGCTGCATTTTTAGCAGGTTAGTTTCATTTACGATTAACGGAGCACTTCCATTACATTGACAAGTTCACAAGTTGTAGTTGTTGCAGATGTAGGCCATACTATAGTTTCTTTACATTGTATAATTAGGTTTTGCCTTCCTGGGAGATTAAACAAAAGGAAGAAAGTTAAAAGATTCCTCAAATCTTTTGTAATGTGAGTTTGGGTTTATAGAACGGATGCTTTTTCTTAAAATAATATGAGGAAGTCCTTTGTGAAGGTGCAAAAGCCCTCCGAATCCACTGGATGGAGTCTCTTTATCTTCTCTGACCTGTACTTCAAATGAGGGAGGTCTCCATTTGCTGGGACATTTCACATTTGCAGAAAAATCCATCATCTTAACATATAATAATAGTAATAATTAAGGTTTACCTTTGATAATGTAGAGAGAGAGAGACGCGCACCAGATAGCAAAGCCTCAAAGCTTCAGCTTAACTCCTAGAGTTGTTGAAGATCCGATTATTCCTTTCTTTTCATAGACCGAAAAAAGTAGCATCCAAACACAACTTCTTTACCCTAGGAACTAAGTAACTTCTTTTTCAATGAGAAGCCACCCAATCTAAGAATAAAGGCCTTAGAGGATTTAACCGAGGCACGTCACAAGCAACCAAAACGGAGCACCAAATCGTTATACTAATGGTGCGTTTACGTAATCGTAATGAAAATAGAAGGAATTGAATTGAGAAGGAGTTGGAATGAGAAGTCAGAATCAGATTTCTATTAAAGCTGTTTACTTAAATGTTTTGGAATCGGAATAGAAATGACACTAATTCCATAAAACTGTTTGCTAATTCAGCAAAATCAGAATATAAACCAGGATGATTACTAAAATGCCCTTGTTCCAAATCAAATATTTTATATACTTTTTTTAATAGAATTTGATATAATATATAATAGTAAGAAAAAAATGAAATTGCTTTTTTATTTCATAGACACACTAAAATGCTTTTGTTTATTTATTTTTATATAAATTTACATATTTACCTTAATATTTAAATTTTATCGCTCAAATTGTAGCTTCTTCTCTTCATCATATGCATGGAGTTGTAAATAATACGAATGAGGGCATAACTGGAAGAAAAAATGCATTCTTGATTCATTCACCCTCCTGAAATTCAAATACCTCATCTATCTAGGGAATCCCACTCCTTTAATTTCAAGAATTGCATTCCTTGTTTAGGGTGGGGTCCATCACACTATTATTGATTCCTAGTAATTAGTAACCGAAGTAATCCGTAATCAAAATTCAATTTCGTTTTTTTATTCTCGTTATCTTTACGTAAATGCGCTCTAAAAGACACTAAAAAAAAGATGAGCATGAGATTCAATCCAACTCCCAAGCGTAGATAGCTTGCCCTTCATAGCTAGCTATAAAATGAAGCTGCCTCTGCGAATACATTGACCGTGCCAAACCAAACTAGATGAAGCAGAGGCACTAGTAAAATTTCCAGATGCCATAGGCAACGGTTGCACTAAATCCTTCCTTGAAGACGAAAACTGAAAAGGCTTGGCTATTGACCCTTGGATTGGATTGGATAGGATAATAGAGCAGTGGTACTTTGGTAACTTAATAAGCAGCCTCACGGAAAAAATTACATGAAACGAATATTCATTCGACGCCATGTCACTATCCAGCAAGAAAAGAGATGTGTTTCTGTTACCCAAGCTGGCATTTGACGCCATGTCACCATCCAGGCAGCCATTCATGCATAACATTAATTTATTTCCCCATCCCTTTCAGGTAGATATCAACATGGATGGTACTATTCATATATTTATTTTTACCTCTTACATATTTTTATTAAACATTGTTTATTAATTTTCTTCAATTTATTCGATCCGATAGTCGGAAATTAAATAAAGTATATGAGAGGTAAAAATTAGTGTGTTGATAACACCACTCATCATTATTTGTCTATTTACTATTTCTCTTCGCATTCACAGTAACAACCTCATCTGATTTTATGGATTAACTTATTTTTAATACAACGATATATTTATATTAAAGATATGAGTGAATAAATTGATATCAAATTTATAACCAACAAAATTTATACCAAAATCAATTGGTAATAGGGTGGGTGACTGACTCCTTAAAGGCCTAAGCCCATATTCTTAGAGACCCTTTGCAATGTTTTTGAACTTTCTTACGTGGGACATTTCTTCACACTCGTATGCCCACTTGTGTGTGGTCGAGTCAAGCACATGGGCAAGTTAACTAGTGAATTGAGAAATTTTTTCACACCCTCATATGCCCGCTTTGTTTTAGGTTGGAACATCAACCCCTTGACATGCTTGAATAGATCTGAAAATGAGTAATTAGACTTTTGTTAACGTGTAAAAATGAGTATAGAGTGTTGACACGGCACAACCCATAAAGTAACGGATCTATTCGTTTTCAATATGATTAGATAAGCTCGAATTTGAGCACGTTGTTTTCATGCAACGTGTCGTGTACGACTCTCCTAGAAACTCTAAAAAGTAATCGTTACACTTTTTGTTTTTATTTTAATGCGATTAATACACTATTAAATATCACTTTACAATGAATTTTATTTAAATGAGTAATAGATGACTATTTTAAAGTATCAATAACAAATTTTATTTTCTTGATTTTAGAAAGAAATCTAGCCTTCACAACATAAAAAAGAAATTAATATTATTTGATGAAGAAGGGGTAGGAAGAAGGACTGAGTGGTCATTTCGAATGACCTACCGCTGCGTAGTATAAAAGCACATTGTGGGAAGCGTTGTTGGGTTGGGATTTTTTATTTATAAAATTATTTAGAATCTTCAACCGAGAGAGGGGGAGAGCGAGTACGCAGGCAAGCCCCTTTTCGCTTTCATCGTTCTCGCCCTCTGAAGCAACCGCTGCCGCGGCGTTGTACGACGGTCATTGGGACTCTGATTTCACGGTAACCACTCGAAACGACTCGTTTTAGGGTTTGGTACTCCCATTTGTACCCGTTGCTGTTTTTCTTCTCGCTCTCACTTTTCTATTTGCTAATTTGTGGTATGGATCTGCATATTTTGCTATAAAATTGGTGTTAGGCTCCAGTTTCTCTCACTAAGGTCTATTTACGTTTTAATTTATTTTTAATTTTTTCTGAAAGGCTTTATCGTCGCTTGAGTTTTTTGTTGCGTTTTTTTTTGGTAGATCGTTAGATCTCGTGCGTTTTTTGCAATGCCGGGAAGCATGTGTGGTTGTTTGGGATTCTAAGAAGGTGATCTTTTAGGTTTATAGTTGGTATAGTGATTTATTTAGTCTGGGTTTGTACTTTGGTGCCAGAGTTGTTGGGCGTGCTTGTATCAAAGTAATTGATGATAGCCATTTTATCTTCTGTTTTTATAATTTTTCTCGTATTTTTTTTTATTTAAAAAAAAAAACTGAATTTTACATGAAATTCCTGGTACATTTTACCAAATTCCAGGAACGCACATAGGATTTTCAAAATTATCGCACTGGAAAATTCTGGGTAACCTTCATTCGTTCTGATTGAAGTATTTTCTGTTATTTTAGTGTTTGCTTGTTATTTATTCGGGCCACTGTATATGATGTGGTTCTGGGTATGTATCTCTCAGCCTTTTGAAAACCCTTGGATATATGTTTGTATTCTGGAAAACCCTAGCTCATGAGTGGATTCTGTAGCTTGTTGGTGTACATTGTGCATTTACTTTTATTGTATATATTCTTTAATACATTGTTTTCAGTCTATGGCCTTTGATTTCTTTGCAAATGGTTCCTTTGATGTAATGCTGATTCTCTTTGTACAGACATCATCATGGTGAGGAAGAGGAGAACTGAACTCCCTAGTGGGGAAAGCTCTGAGTCTCATGAACCTGCTGGGGGTAGTGGTCGTGGTTCCCAGCGTGCTCCTGAAAGGACTCCGCCACAACAACAGGGTGGAGGAAACTACCAAGGTGGTCGTGGACCGGCCCCCCAGGGAGGTCGTGGAGGCTATGGAGGGGGTCGTGGTGGCCGTGGAGTGCCACAACAGCAGCAATATGGCGGGCCCCAAGAATACCAACAACAGCAGTATGGTGGGCCACAGGAATATCAAGGTAGAGGCAGGGGAGGACCGACTCAGCAAGGAGGTCGTGGAGGTTATGGAGGTGGCCGTGGTGACATTGGCCGTGGAGGACCACCTTCTCCTGGTGGTCCAGCCAGACCTCAATTCCCCGAGCTGCACCAAGCAACCCCAGTTCCTTACCAAGAGGCCACCCCCCAAGTTCCTTATCAAGGGGTCACCTCTCCGCCTGTATATGGTGGAAGTTCATCGTCATCCCAGCCACCTGAGCCTTCAGAAGTGGCGGAGCAGCTTGCTGACCTTACTGTCCGGCAAGAGAGTGCACCTAGCCAGGCTATTCAACCTGTGGCGCCCTCAAGTAAGTCAGTCAGGTTCCCTCTTCGCCCAGGGAAGGGTAGCACTGGCAGAAGGTGTACAGTCAAGGCAAACCATTTCTTTGCAGAATTACCTGACAAAGACCTCCACCAGTATGATGTAAGCTCTCTTGCCATCTGTGTCTATCTTTTGATATTGTACTACTATTGATAATGTATCTTTTCATTATATGTAATAGGTTACTATTACACCAGAGGTCACATCAAGGGGTGTGAATCGTGCTGTGATGGAGCAGCTGGTGAAACAGTACAGGGAATCCCATCTTGGAAAACGTCTACCAGCTTATGATGGACGAAAGAGCCTGTATACTGCCGGCCCACTTCCTTTCCTTTCAAAGGAGTTTAAAATCACTCTTATTGATGATGATGATGGATCAGGTGGACAAAGGTGCGTACTCACAGCTCTTTATTTTTAGTACATTTTTTTCTGTGCACTCTTATTTTGTATGTATTTGATCATGGCTTTCTTCTTGATGGCAGGAGAGAGAGGGAATTTAGGGTTGTCATAAAATTTGCAGCACGCGCTGACCTACACCATTTAGGTCTCTTTTTGCAAGGGAGGCAAGCTGATGCACCTCAAGAGGCACTTCAGGTTTTGGACATTGTTCTGCGCGAATTGCCTACTTCTAGGTAAACAGTGTTTCTTCCGCCTGGTGATGA